ATGGGTTGGATCTGCTGTTTCGTAACCGTAGAACATGTGATCGGGGTATGCACAAAAATTAGCTGAAGAACTGCTGTCGTCGTAGATTTGCTGATCGTGCTGTAATAAGATAAATGGTCAGAGAAAATGATTTTTGTATAGTTTAAATCAAGGATGAGCAAACCGCGGCCCGCGGGTCGCGTGCGACCCGCCGGATGTTTTTCTGTGGCCCGCCAAGCGTTTCTCAACTACAGACTATTTTTCTAGATATTTTATCAAATACGACTGTAAAGGCTGATGTGTTGTCAGTCAAATACTGGTAAAAATTGTTCGCAGAAATAGCATTTCCTGATAAAATAAATATTCAGTTAACAATATTGCAAGAAAAATTGAGAACTTATCCGAAAACATATCCATAACGCATTTCCAAATTTAAAATAATTAAATAAGTGTGTTTTATAAAGTCGCGAGGGTTAAACCACCGTGAATTTAAAGAATTCCTGAACAATTTAAAGCGTGTATATGGCGATAATTTTTGTACTTTCCTCATTTTGACAATGGAGAATAATATCTTCTGCATCATTTTGTGTTTTACTTTCCATATTTGGAAAAAGGAAATGTGAACAAATTTTAATTGCGATTCTAAATGTTCAAAGCTTACATCGATGTAGGTATACTTTATGAAAACCATCACAGAAAGTAATCAGCATGCAAAATAGCTGTATTATTTACAGATTTAAAAGATGTATTTTTTAGTAAACATTGCAATTTTTTATAAAACTCATGTCAGCTCTGAGAAATTTTTGCTTTTGAAAAAAACACGCAAAGAAAATTATGTAAATTCTTTTTTTGGAAGTACGTCGTGTGCGAACAATTGCACAGAAAGAAAAGTCGATGGAAAATAATTCATTCATTTAGAAAAATTTAGAGATTGAAAATTGTGCCAGTTTTTAAATATTTTGCGTCCCAATTCTGACTATAGATTTATCTTCAGAAGTAAATGGAAAACGTATAACATACACCCAATCCAGACAACTTTTTTTGTGAATCTGTGTTAATTTCGATCCATCCACCGAGCAAAATTGAGTGAAACATATTAAAGCTGCATCACTATGCTACTTTCCGCATTAAAAAAATTAAAGAACAAGATTTAAAAAACGGCTTATATCGATCAGCTTATATAAAAAAGCAGTGCCAAATTTTTCATTAAAGTTTTCAATAAAATTAGTTTTTTCTGTTTAACTATTATTTGTTTTCATTTTGCATATATACACTCGTAAATATATAAAATATATACTTTATTCAACTTTGAGTATTTGTTCTTTTCTTGTTGCAGTTTTGTAATTTTGTTTGTTTTATTCCCGCGCTCAGTCAATGAATCTTTTTGACTTTATATTAGTTCAGACTTTTGAGTTTATGAAAAATCTTCAATTTTATTCAAAAAGAAAAAGCATTTATTTTTTATGGGTTGTACAACCGTAACATTTTTTTTAAAATTTGTTCTTCATTTTAATTTTTTAGCGCGGAATGGAAAACTACATACAACTCCAAATTTCAATTTCTTATTTCATAATAGTCATTTTAGCTCGATAATCGATCAATTAACATGATCGTCTTTTTTGTGAACGTTTTTAATAGAAATTTGATCAAGATTTTTCTGAGCTTATAGTAAAGCTTAAATTTATCCGCTCTATCCGCTGCAACATTTTGAAAACAATTCTTAGATATTGGCAACGAAATGGTTACCCTTGATAAAACTAACTGATTGCAGACTTTAGTACAAATATTTCTCGTTGTGCTTAATAAGAAGTACCTAGTTTTTGAATGCCCTGTAGAAGGTGCAATTTTGCTTTTATCCGGGTCTGCTAGTATATATACATAATTACGTGCGGCCCGCCATGAATTTTAAAACTTAAAATGGCCCGTGAGTTAAAATGTTGCTAGCCCTTGGTTTAAATGTTTATATGAGCCACTTTTCTTACCGGTTGTAAATGCTGCAAATACTGATATTCATGGGGACCATGATCATGGTACGTAATTTTCCCTATATCCACTATGATGTAAATGTCTCCATGGTGGTGACCAACTACTGGTGGTTGATGATGCAGGATAGGCGTTGGCTCATGATGATGTGAGGCACCTTGGTGTTGCATAGCGGATTGTTTGTTTGTGGTTGTTGAATTACTGGATGGTTACTCGTTACTGTTTCGTGGCTACTTGGATGATGTTGTGCAAGTTGAACAGGATTGCTTTTTGGTATCGTTGACACGGGCGTTGATACTGCAGCTGGTTCTGTGACTGATCGTGCTGTCCTTGTTCTGTTGAAAGTATCAAGTCTTTTGCTTCTTGACCACTGGGAATAGAAAATATATTAAAAAAAACTGTGTTTTAATTCTTTTGTCACGAGTGTCGTCTATAGGCGACATGCGCTTGGCGCTTGGCGACCTGTGTGTACGAGTGTCGCCTATAGACGACATCCAACGTTTGATCAAAATTTATCGCTTTGAGTTAATTATTCAACTTTTTTTTTATTGTAGTTTTTCTGTTACATTATATAGAAGTAGGGTGATCCTCATATGGGTTATTTTCGATTTTTTTGCTCCCAGGTGCTCAAATGCTTCTAAATTGATAAAAAAATTTTCTCTGCAAGTTTTTGGCCCTGAAATTTACTTTAAGATAGTCCGCACTCCAACGAAAGTTTCTTGAATCTTCTTAAGTAAATACTTATTTTATGAAATTTGTCAAATTTTTGTTGTACTTATTTTTATTTATGATCAAAATAAGCAATACAATGTTTATCTCAAACTTTTGATCCACTTGTCGCTATGTTGTAAAATTCTAAAAAACAAAGGAATTTTTCCCATTTTTATCTCCATAAGAAACTTTGATTAAGTGCGGACATTCTTAAAATTAATATTAAGAGCTAAAACTTTCATAGAATTGTTTTTTTATTAATTTGCACTCATCGAGCCCCTGAGAGAAGGAATCGAAATATCCACCCTAAATATAGAACTTCTATATGTTTTTCGGGTCGTTGTTTTTTAGAGATATTAGCCCCATATATTTTTTTGAAATATGGGGGGTGGGCTGAGCTCAACCGACAGCCCACACGGTTCCGACGCCACTGTATAGAAGTATAATTTTTATATTTAAATACATTTCTATTATGATAATTAGAAAATCGTTTGGTGTATTTAATATTTGGGCGGATTGCTGGCCCGTACAGCAGTGTCATTTCTGTAGAAAACATCGCAAAAATATGTTCATTTGAATTTGCTCTTAATCTAATTAAACACATTGCAAATCTTTTCAAAGTAATTAATTTTTATTTTTTTAGAATATATCACATTTTATTTTTGCTACAACAATTTCTGTATGTATCTTTTAGGCAAACAAAGATAAATCAAGTCGTATATTTATTCTCATAAATATTTCAAAATTTTATATCATTGATTGACGAACATAAACGCATTAGTTTTTTGATAACGCAAATCATTTTTATGCATCAAAGTAATAAATTATATTTTTGAATTCGTAAAATATTAGAATTACATTGGAAAAGAGATTCTTATAAAATCTGTGGCGTATTGAAAAGATTAAATGATTAATTTTATTTATTATAAAAAAACACAAATAAAGTTTATTATGGTACCTGAATAATAATAAGATGAATTATAAATATATGGTACTGTTTTCTGTATTCTTGAAGGAAAAACATAGAAAATTTTATACATTATTAATAAAATGAGCTATTAGATGGCACGATAAATGAATCATTTCTAAATAAATAATATATTTTTATTTAACT